TGTTTATGTTTATGTTTATGTTTATGTTTATGTTTATGTTTATGTTTATGTTTATGTTTATGTTTATGTTTATGTTTATGTTTATGTTTATGTTTATGTTTATGTTTATGTTTATGTTTATGTTTATGTTTATGTTTATGTCTATATCTATGTCTATGTCTATTTCTCGGCCTATGTCTATGTCTGTCTATGTCTACTTCTAGGTATATGTCTATATCTGTTTATATTTCTAAAATATTGTTGAAGGGGGTAGGCACCTGTACAGAAATTCAAAATAAATTTAATTAACAAGTTCAGCAGAATTATTTAGGGAAACTTTTACTACAAACTATTGTAAAATAGGGTTACTACTTGTTTGTAAATCTAATAATAATTCAGCTTCCAAGTTATGTAAATAAAAAAGTTTGATATAAATAAATAGGTTTCAAATGAGAGATGCTGCAGTAAGATATTTATGAAGAGGGTTGCCACATGCTCAAAGAATTTGAATCTCTTATTTAATAAGTGTACTGAAATCTTTTATTATACATTCTTGCATATATACATAGTTATATTATTTTTACTTTTAAAGAGGGTGGCCGCCTGATAAGTAATTGGGAAACGATTTTATCAACAAATTAAATTGCATATGAACCTTAGTATTGATATCAAACTATATAAATATAAATATGTTTCAAACGAGAGAGAGGGCAGTAAGCTTTATTTTTAAGATATTTTTGAAGTGGATTGCCAGCTGCGCAAAAATTAGAATTCATGTAATTAATAACTTTATTAAAACTTTTAATATATGTATGTACATGCATACATAAATATATTTTATTTATACTAAATAGTGTTGCCACCTGTTTAGTAATTTGGAATCGACATTATCAACAAGTTAATTTTCATATATACATATGTAACTTAATATGGGTATGAAACTATAGAAGTTTAAAAAGATTTATTTCGAAAATGTGTTTAAATAGGGTTACCACCTGTTTAGTAATTCAAAGTCAATTAAGCTGGCAATATTTTAATATGGGTGCCAAACGAAAGAGGCTTAAGTGAAGTTCATTTTTGAAATATTTCTGGAAAGTTTCGGTTCAATGAGGAACCGAAACTAACAATCTGTAAACAGTTCGTGAGCAATGATAGGATCTTTTAATTTAAAATGCATTAATTTTTATGGAAATCAAAAACTACATATATGTATATATATTTTTTAAAATTTCAATTGTGGTTAGTTTGTGTATTTAAATTTCTTTATTCTTTACTCCAAAATGAGTTGAAAAGTAAGCAATAAATTAAATGACAGCGGCTATATATGTATGTACACAAGAATGATAGAATACAAGATTGCGCCGATCAGAGAGGATTTTTGAGAATAACTTTTGTGTGACGTCACACTGGTGCAATTGCGAGAGAAAAATGCCAAAACGGCGCAACCTTTGTATTCTCTCAATCGTGGTATGTACATAAGTAGTATGTGTATAAGGTACACACTCCTACAAAACTTTAGTGGCCACAAGCCGCGCGACCGCAGCGACCGCAAACATACTTCGAGTAGTGCAACTGTGAAACGACGATTTGGCAGTAAATGGCTGAAGAGAAGAATAAATAAACAGGCAAACAAGTTAGTAAATAAATAGCCAAACGGTTCTATCACAGAATTAAATGCCACAGGGCGGACAGTAGTACCAGTAGTACTAGTACAAGTGCTTGACTGACTGCAAACATATGTGGCCAATATGTATGTATGTATGTGTGGAACGGTTAAAACAATAAACACCAGCCGGCTGGGTCACATACCAATATTGAGTCCTATATAGATTAATGCGTCTGCATGTAAGTACATACCTGTTTTCCATTTCCATTCCCACTTCATTTTTACTTTCATTTTCTATTCTATTGCTATCAAACACATTTCTGCTACCTATATACATACATATGTATAGGTATGTATGTATATAAAATCCCCACTATAGCTCACTCGAGCACTCAACTGTGCGTTGTAACGCGTTGATGTAAAGTCATTTCTATGGAGCGCATTTTTTCAAAAGTATCAATATTTTTTTCAACCTATTTTTTCCGAATGAACAAAACTACATACATATTTGTTGTTGTTCGTTTTTAGCGTAGACGATACGTATTCAAAAATTAAAAAAAAAAACATTCAACACCTGCTCACTATTAAAAATAATTGGTGCGAGTAGCCATTGAGGCAGAAGTAAAAAATTAATAAGCTATGTAAAATATATGTGTGCAAATTTTTTCCGCAATTTTTAAAATATTCTCCAAAAAGCTCGCAATCCTACAGAATTTTTATCATTTTGAAAAGTAACGAATCTATAGCTTTTTAATTTAATTAATTTTTTTTTAACTTATTGCTAAAAGGCGAACAGCATATCGCTAAGGCCTACTCGTTAGCAGATCTTTCAATTGTTCTTACGAAAGACAGTAAAGAGCTTTCAATATAGTTGCCAGAATTGACAATTGTCCTTTCGAAAGGCTGTGGTGAGTTTAAAGACATTTGCCAGAATTATCCTGTTATACTAGGTTCACATATAAGTAGATTATCCTAATTTTCGAGCTTAACACCCTAATCTGTAATTATAACAAGAGATTAGCCATATAAAATTCGTCCCTTTTTAATCTGTAATTATAAAATAATCTCAGATTTAACCGATAACTTTTCGGTGTCCATCCTAGTTTTATCGATTGTTTTTGCGAAAGAGAGGAGAAATGCCAAATGTAAAAGTAAACAAAAATGTACGCTAGCAAGAAAAAGAGGTTTGTAAAGGTATTTTTAATAAAATGTTAAGTTAAAATATATTTATATTGCTTATTATAGCAGAAAAACGTGATCACGGGGGCACAGAGAAGAAACATAACTTTTCCTTGAGATGTGAGAATAACAAGCACAACAAATTTGACGGCTAATAATCTGAGATTTGCCTGTGTAAACGGGGTGATTAAAAAACGAGCTTTGATTAAGATAATATTGATATGTGAACATAGTTTTAGGTTAGGTTTTTAGCGGTTGGTTGGTTGGGAGTAAATTGGCAAATTCAATGGAAATTGCACACGGAAATGGTGCAACGGAAATGGTTGGGGCTGAATCAAGTGCTTCTTGAGTGTATGCACATGGTATGAATTTAACAAAAACTTGCTAATAAAACGTTAAAGAACAACACTTAGAAAAAGACCAATACAAGAATGAAAGTAAAGGGGAGTACGTAGATAGATAAAGAAAAGAATAAAGGCAAAGGCAAAATACTTTACATAAGTGAATGGGGAATATGTAGATGAAGAAAAGTATTAACACAAAAGTAAAAACAAAGATAAATATAAAGAAAAAGATAAGGATGGGGATACCGATAAAAGTATAGATGAAGATAGAGAAAGAAAGATTAAAGTAAAGGTAATTATAGAGAATAGGATATAGCTGGAGACACAGAGACTCAATCTGTGAACTATTTTGGGATATTAAAGATTTTCGGGATTCTCCGGACCTCTCGGTATAGTAATCGATATTTTAGTCGCTTTTGTTATCGATTTTGTTATCTAAATTTGTATCGATATTGTTATCGATTTTGCTATCGATATCTTCGGAACATATCGATATAATAATCGATATTTTAATCGATTTTGTTATCGATATTTTTGTCGATTTTGTTATTGATTTTGTTGTCGATTTTGTAATCGATATTTTTAACGCTTTTGTTATCGATACATTTTATCGATATCGTTATTGGTTTTGTTATCGATATTGTTGTAGATTTTATTATCGATGCTTTTACCGAAATTGTTATCGATAGTTTTATCGATTGTGTTGTCGATACTGTTATCGATTTTACTATCGGTTATTTATCGATTTTGTTGGAGATATTTTTATCGATTTTGTAAGAGATATTTTTATCGATTTTCTAAAGGACTTTTGTTATCGATATTTTTATCGATTTCGGTATCGATTTTGGTACCAATATTATTATCAATTTCGCGGTCGAAATTTTTATCGAATTTGTCATCGATTTTGGTATCGATATTTTTATTTGTTTTGTTATAGATATTTTGTTGGATGTTACTATCGATTTTGTTATCGACAGAGTATAAAGATAGAAAGAAATGAGGATATTGGAAAACAGAATAACATACATAAATGTAATTAGCAGGAACAGGGGTAGAGGGAGAGGGATCTAGATAGAAAAAAGACAAAAAATACAACCTTAAGCAAAAGCAGATGTATGTACATATGTGTATTGGTTATGAGGCTATAGTATATATATATATATATATAATATATAATAGATATATATATAATAGATATGTAACGTATCTTTCACTTCTCCAGTGTGGCCCAGGCGTACCTACTTTTTTTTTTTAATCTGCTGCAGCCGAGTGATTAAAGGTGCGTACCACCACTCCGTAGGTCCTAAGTTCGATCCCGGATCCGAGCCACATCTGAAAATAGAATGGTTTTATATAACACGGTCGGCCTTCGGCAGGCAATGTCAAAACTCCGAGTGTGTTTCTGTCATGAAAAAGGTTTGACATGAAAAGCCAATCACCGTTTGGAGTCGCCATGCCAAGACGCAAACCAGAAATTGGAGGAGAAGCTCGGCCAAACACTTAGCAAAAGTGTGAGCGCCGATTTTTTTTTACGTAAACAGAAATCTTTAAGCTCGGAGAAGTGAGAGTAAAATGTATATGGGAATCCGACTAAGCTAACTTATCCATAGGTTTGATCAAATCACTTTGGTTGCTCTCAAACATCTTTTATTAAATCTTGTTGAATTAAAACGTTAATTAAAAATATTTCATTCCTCTATTATAACGACTTTCTTTTATTAAGTTAGTAAGTATGCTTAAACGTGTAAGTATGTATATTTAATTCATTAACAAAGCAATGAACTTTGCAAAAGAAGATTCGGTTGAAACAAGTATGTATGTTTTTATGTGTGTGCCGCGTGTATGCAAGGCAGCGTCTTAGTCTACTGACTCACTCAATTTTGACCGCAATGCAAGCAATGACTCAGGCGCAGCTCAGCCAACGCTCAGATCTCAGTTAAAACCTACCTGTCGAGAATCAAACTTGTTCAGTCAACTTTTGTCAACGTTGGTGTCAAGATGCAATCCACTCTAAAGCTTAAACATGCAGTTATGCTGCTGATCGCATTGAATTGCGTTCTACTTTGCACCGGTAAAATATTTGGTTTGCATTTCACGCAACACACACAGCAATTTAAATACTAATCGGATGGGCCTGCCTGTCTGACGGCCTGTTGACGCGAAAAATGTGATAAAAATTAATAAATACTTGTGAAATTCTATTTTTTCTCTTATGCAGCTCAAGGCGGCTGGGGTGGCGATTCTGGTGCACCTGGCGCCCCTGGCGGAGGTAACGGTGGTGGCGCACCTGGAGCTCCCGGTGCACCCGGTGGTGGAAGTGGTGCACCAGGAGCGCCTGGCGGTAATCATCATGTTCATTCGTACGCCTCCGCTGGCAGTGGATTTGCACAGCTGCAATGGCTGTTGGCTTTAATGCCATTCACGTTTATTTTAAAATATGTTTAAGGAAAGTTTATGTATAATCTGTACAAAAAATGTTTAGTTGTTGTTAATGAACCAAAAATATGTATTTTTTCCAATTAATTAGATATGCAATCAATTAAAAATAATAAAATTTCATTTGAATGTGTTTGTGTTATAATGAATTTTAATAACATTTCTAGACTTTTAATTTGTTTTGTTATTCTATAATATCTGCTTGATAAACTGCGGCGTCATATTAGTATTTAAGTCGCGTCTTGATTCTAAAATCAGTGCATCACCTAGAGATAAGTATTAACTTACTACTTTTTTTAATAAATTTATTTGTGTTAGTAATGGGTGTTACATTATCATAATCGATTTATATAGTTATATGTGCACAGCTTTTAAACGCACAGAAACATACTGGCGGCTTGCCATTGCCTTCGGATGTTGTTTATGGTTTGACAAAGAACTTGGGGGCCCTATAGAGTGGTAGTACTAGGGTTCAATCAATACCACTAAGGTATCACTCTAATGTGTATTTACTTGCCCTGAAAATACAGAAAGTATATATTTATCGTTAAATAGCTATATTGATTAAGAAGTACCTAATCAATAAATCGGTCAGTAATGCTGATAAAATATATGCATATACATTAGGGTGCTTTTACGCGGTTATTAATTTTTTCACTCTCACCTCGAAAGTTTTGTGTGAATTGGTCAATGACGGGTTTGCAGAATTGAATGCTCTACAATAGTGTCCATTGCGGCTAACCCTAGCTCCCACCAGCGTGGTAGTACGCGTCACTAAACTAAATTTTGTCATTAAATTCTCATTTTTTGCCCCTTTCTCATAAATAACAAGAGCTACAGTAAAAATGTGAATGACAAACCTGTAGTAATCCGAGGAAATGTTTAATATATATATATATATATATATATATATATATATATATATATATATATATATATATA